ACTTCAGTTTAGTTCCCTCACTTGCAAAAGGACGGGCAAATGGAGCAACCCAACCAATGTTTGAAATGTACTCAGGATGCTTGGCGCATCAAGAGCCAAAGGCTTGGGCCAAATGGTCAAATGGCTCACTCTAGCAGAATGGTGGTACAACACTACTACATCCTAGCTTGAAGATGTTCCCTTTTCAGACCTTATATGGATGTGCTCCACCTCATTTCTTAGGAGCAGTGGATGTCCGGACGCCCTCTCAATCAATGGAATATTATTTGTCAGAGTGTCCAAAGATAAGTGGGGGAATTCATTAGCAACTACTGAATGCTCAGCATGAACAATATTCCATTTAGAGAGTAGTTTTAGTTTTCTTTTTCTCATTTCTAAGTATCCTTATCAATTTCATGTATTATTCCTTCAACATACTAGCATGAACAATATTCAGTTTATTCTTTTTTCAGAAATGAAATAAAATTTATTAACTGTCTTTTTGTTTCATGTGAAAGAAGTAACTAATGCTTGTTATCGAGTAACTAAAATTTTTGAGGAAAAAAAAAATTAATAGATGCAAAAGGAAAATTGTTTTCCAAAATGGCAACCAAATGAAGCCATAAATTCTTTCAACTTGAGGGGAGTGCTATGTGTGTTTTTGTGTTCCGAAATCTTTTACATACTAGTCTAATAATCTGACCTTGATCAGTTAAGACATCGCATGAATCATTATGCATTGTAAATAGGTTAGTATTGTATACTTGAGTTATAGATTTTGATTTTGTGAAGTCATTTTGTTTACAACCCATAATATACCAAATAGGGAAGTGATGTGGTCTTATTAGATGTAATCTACTCAATAGCATGTTGGAGCAAGTAATATATAAATATATGAATTGGTGCTGTAAATAGGGACTGGATCCCATTTCATTGGCTCACTATGGAGCTCTTGTGCCTCTTGAGCCAATAGTCTCTTCAGATGAGGGGAATAAAATTATTGTTGTCTCCTAAACTTTAAGTGAAAAATAGTAGAATGATTATTTATTTATTTCTCTTGTTGTTTATGTAATTTCTTAATTTCTATTATTTCACATGTATTTGTCTTATCTATGCAATGGCAATGTTTGCAGTTCCTGATGGATACAGTGAGAAGACTGAGTTAGAGGTTTTCAAATTTACTGGTAATGGAGGTGTTGCCTTGTCTA